TAGCTTTTGCTTTGGAGCTTCCCCCCCCCCCCCAGGTGAATTCACAGCTCTTTCAGCTGGGGAAGGAGGAGGAGTACTAGCTGTTTTGCACTGGTGAGGGAGGGTGGGGAAATAGTATATGCAGTAGCTTATTAATATTCTTCATCATTCCTTATCTTGTATGAATCCCAGTCAGCTGGATGGGATTCTTATGTAGGCTAGGGGTTTTCTAAACATAATAGGAAGGTATGAAATGAGTAACCTACATGGAAAATCCATAAAGTAGTCAAGTCCTAAGTTTGCTAACATAAACTACTTTTAGACGGTAGAAAATGTGGTCCCAGATATGATATAAAGTATTTATGATAGGATATAAACTAATTGTGATATGCTGTTCTTAGAATCTATGGAAGAACAGCATCAGTATGTCTTTGTATCTGTAATCTCTGAACTGACCAATCAAATTTGCAGGAGCATTTCTGATGGTGACTTTAGTCAAGTGCAGTAAAAATGAAGAAGCTTCAAAAATCTTTTAGAGAGTGCAGCTTTTAACTCCACCATTGAAGCAGAGGAACAGATGGCTGTGTAAATGAAGAGCAACTTCAGTGAGAAAAACATTATTTAGAAAGAGTCATCTTAGAACATGGGTTTTCAACTGGAGAGTCAGAATCCCTGTCAAAGAGAATTACAGTGTGCCACCCTCTCTCTCTTAGTGGCTAGATGATAGTAATAGAGGATCCAAACCCCCTTTTTTTGGTGTAACATAGGGAAAGTTGTTACAGGAACATAAGTGATCTAGAATCTAATGAACAACTTGAAAGAAACCAGCTGAGAACTATATAGTCCATGTCACTTAAAACATCCCTCTTCTTGCCAAAGAACATCCATGGTGTATACTCCAGTAATTCTCAACCAGGGTGCCACTCAATATTAGCAGTTAGGTGTGCAAATACCTGCATGTGATTCTGCAGATACACCCAGAGATTTGAAATGGAAATCTATAGTGTCAAAAGTATTCTGACCTGCTGTGGTCTTTCTGAGTTCTTTGCAATGGAAGAAATGCTCCATTTTTCCTTATGCAGCTGAGTGAAAGGTAAAAGCTGGCATTTTCTGAGTGTCATTAAGTTGAGAACAGCTGATGTACTCACTGTAAAGTGCTCAAACTTCGATTTAATCTATTAACAGGGTCCTGAACATTATACATTTCTCAAATTAAGTCTGAGGCTATGTTTAATATAGGACATGGTATACTTCTGAGAAATACTTGGTGGGGGCAAAATGCATTTTGTAAATGCATGCATATAATTTTAATCAGTTAAAACTGTTCATGCCTTGGAGGGGCACAGCTTAAGTTTTTGGGATTTCTTTCACAAAAGCACGTCTTGCAAAATTGTTGATGTGAAAACCTTGGACAAGCTACAGACAGATTTCCACTTTTTCCTCTTCCTGCAGCTGCTTAAATATATTTACAATTGTTTATGGTCTCTTTATTTTATCTTCATTAGCATTGTACTTACCCAGTTTGTTCATTAAAATCAAAACACATTTACTTCCCTTTATTGCCCTTCTACTTTGATCTGCACACAATGAAAATTGCTATCACAGTATATTTATTTCCTACATAACATATAATGAGACTAAAAGGTTAATTTATAACATAATCATCTTAATGCTATGCATTTTTCTTTCACAGTTTCTGAAACAGTTAGGTATACATCCTGACTGGCAGTTTGTAGACGTGTATGGTATGGAGCCAGAACTTCTTAGCATGGTGCCAAGACCAGTCTGTGCAGTATTACTTCTCTTCCCAATAACAGAAAAGGTAAATACTTATTAATATTCAGTAATTCAAAGTCATTGGATCAGTCAGTGTCTTATCATAACAAATGTGAAAGCCATAATTCTGAACCTTATTGATATAGTTAAAGCAAAATGAAACTTGAAACTTGTTCAGGGCTATGCAAAAAGGTTTCATGCTTTTTTCAAAAAGGAAAAAAAGCTTGTTAATACTGTTGTAAATATGCATTTAAGAAATCTGATTCACATCTTTCACTAGTAGGGAACAGGATTTTAAGAGTCACATTAATAGAACTGTTGTTACTATCAAGCTATGCTACACTTGGGGCAATGCACAAAAATATAAGATGGGATGTGGGAAGTATGAAATTAGCAGATAGCCACAGGTGACATTATTTTTTGAATTTGTAATATTGTGCTGCAAACCAAACTGTATCCTTTTCCGAGGCCACTAACTTCAACGTAGCTTTCTTTTCTTTTTTGAAAGAGATGGGTTTCTTGAGTGGTTTAGGGCAGTGACTCTCAACTGGGATGCTGTGGAGACTTCCTTAGGAGTGCTATGGCATGGGCACCCCTGCCATAGCCAGGTAGAAGCGCCCTGCTTGCTTCATGCAGAGCCAAATCAGGAAGGGCTATGAGGCACATGCTTTCTTGCCTCACGTAAGGATCCTCCAGTAAAACAAAAGGCAAATGAGTTGTCTCATGCCACAGCCTTTCCTGGTCGAACCCTAAACAGCATCTTTTGGGAGCAGAGGTGTGTAGGGCCAGGTGGACCTCTGTTTCTGAGAGGAGTTTGGGGAGGACAGGCAAAACAGTGGTTCTTAACTGGGGTGCCACCAAATTCAGAAAAGCTGGGTAGGGGTGCCCTGACTCCATAAGCTGTACTAGAAAATATTAGTTGGGGGTCTAGGAGGTGCAGAGTATGCCTGCCTAACCCCACCCCTCCCTCCTGCAGGGCCGTTCCAGGGCCAGGGTGCCCTGGTGCTGTATGTGTGGCAGCAGAGGAACACGTGGTGGGGGGGCACTGGGTGTGGCACTGGGGAAGTGGTGGTGCTGGAGCTGCTGTCGCTGGCCCAGTTTACGGGACCTAAGCCATATTATCTTGGCCTTCAACCCCCTATGCCTGACTCCAAAAAAAGGTGATAACCACTTCGCTAGGGAGGAGAAAATTAGGTCCCTTTCTCCAGCTAAATGTTACATCTTTCTCAGCACCAATAGCTTGCATTCAGGTCTGCATATTAGCTATTCACCATTAGAGGTGCACCAATACATCAGTCCGACATTGAATTGGCACCAATTTAAAGAAAATTGATTGCATCGGAAATTAGCCTGATTTGGCCAATAAACGTCCATGCATGCATGCAGCCGCAGCATAGCCCGCAGGTAGCATGGCAGCTTGGAGAGCTAGGTGCAGCTGATAAGTCTGTTGTGGTGGAAGATAAGGGGAGTATGATGGGGCATAGGGAGCTGATAAATGCCCTCTGTGGTGAGAGAGGGAGTGGGGCTGGGGCAGGCGTTGCCTGTGTGGGGCAGGGCGTGGGATGGGGCTATGGCTCATCTGGGCAGCATGGGGGTGGGGTGGTTCCCACCCCTGCATGCAGCCTGGGAGGGCATGGTGGGGTGTGCGCTCCTGGATCTGTGGGGGAGGGAGAGGGTGTGGTGGGCTGGGGCTAGGGCAGTGCTGGGCTCTTCCCAGCATGTTGGGGGACAGGGGCTGAGCCAAGCTGCGCTTGGGGTGGGCAGTGGCAGCACTGGGAGGGGGCTATGGTAAAATTTAGTGTGCCACCCCCCATAGCTCTCCTCCCAGCACGCTACAACCCACCCTGAGCACAGTATGGCCTAGCCCCTCCCACCCTGCCCCACCCCACACAGATCCGGGGACACATGTGCCCCCCAGCCCCATGTGCCCTCCACGCTGTGGTGGGAGCCACCCCTGCCCCAGCTTCACTCCCTCCCTCACCGCAGGGGCCTTGATGTGGCCTCCCACACCCCTTTCTTCCCCTCTTCCTGTCCACCACAATAGACTTACAAGCTGCACGCAGCTGTACCAGAAATCAAGTCGGTATTGGCTGATATGCTTCCTTATTGGCACCTTAAATCTCTTCTGGTGTACCCCTACTCAGCATGTGTGTTAGACAATTTTGAAATATTCAACATTAACTTTTAAAAGTTCCTTAAATCTGTAGAATTCAAGATATTGCATGCATGTTATGCAACTGCATGTTTGAGGAGATATTTGCACTTAGAAAAAGTTATACACATCTTGATTGCGTGAAAGGTGGCTACTTTATGCCTGCTGTATAAAAATCCTCCCATAAAATTATAGACAATGTTTTAATGGAGCTGTAACAGTTCAGATTGGAGGGAAAACTTTTTGTTGACCTCTGCTGTTTCATCTCTGTCAAAACTCCCTGTGGTGGATACTTTCCAGACAGCTGTATTTGGGTCCCTTTGTGCAGCTAGATCAGGGGTGGGCAGACTGCGGCCTGGGGGCCAGATGCGGCCCGCAGGTCGTTGTATCCGGCCCACGGAGCCCCTAAAAAATTTAGAAAATTAATGTTAATCTGCTCTGGGCTGTCTGTCATGCGGCTCTCGATGGCTTCCTGAAACTCAATAAGTGGTACTCTGCCCAAAATAATTGCCCACCCCTGAGCTAGATGGACCCTTTGCTTTTGGTCTGGATTGACGCAAGTCTTCAGTTTTTGGAGACTAATTAGAGTCTTCTAGGAGATCTGGGACTTCCCCTTCTCAGTAGCCCTTCTCTTTTGGGTTCATAAATCACTGTCTTCTGCAGCCAGTTTCTTTTCTTCTCTGACAAAGGTCTGCTTTTTATGAAAGCATGTTGCTTTGCTCCTTTTTTCCTGTCCCAGCTTACTTAGCCTTTATAAACCCCCCTGCTCTTTCAACTTCATTCTCTTGTTTGGTAACTTTTCCATTTTTCTCTTTCTCTTCCCAGCCGATAAGCTTAGTCAAACTGTTTTTTCAGCACAGGCACCCTGCTTCTCATTGTTTTTTCTGGAGCCCAGATGTTAATCCTAATGACTTTTAGTCAGCAGTCTCTCCTAAGTGGATGGTATATATTTCAGGAAGTTGTAGTTGCATGCCGACTTGCTACACACTGAGGCATTCAATGATGCAATCATTTAATAAAATTTAATGAGAATATTATACATAGGCATGTCTTTTTTGTCACAGTACGGTACAGCTTCCCTTGCCCAGGCATTTTAAATAACTGGAGATAAGGGAGAAAAAGGAGAGGAAAATTTGAGACTGAACTTAGTTTTGTAACATTCATCTTTCACTCAAAAAGTGATAAGATTTGCCCTTTGAGGAAGATGTTTGGACAGGAACTCTAAAAAGTACTTTTTAGATTACTTGAATTATGAGCAGGATTATTCATATAAAACTCTGAGATCATAACCACATACTTTTGTCAGTGCTGTTTTTTCTTTTTAGTGTTATTTGGGATGTTTCAGTAATACTTAACATATTTATAGAATGAGGCAGTGGTCTAAACTGGATATTCAAAGGGTCTTTGTGTTGTTCCAAGTGAACCTTTCTCATTTAAAATTAATGTATTGCAAAAGGTTCTTTGGCTATTATTTGGCTTATTTGGAGTCTCAAGGAGACAATAGCTAGAAAAACAGCCATGGTCACTTTCCCAAAATAAGGGACAGCGCACACAAAAAAGCAAGGATCAAGTAAGGTCTTCTCTAAAGTAAAATGTGAAGTGAGGCTAGATTACTACTTGTTGAACTGATGAATATAAAGGCACACTGCGTTTACTACTCAGTGAGGTGGAAAATGTCTCTTAGGCTGCTTGCAGGCATTAAACAAACAAAAATCACATTTTAAACTCCACCTGCCCCAAGCTAAACCCAGTGCATGCCCAGAAGAGGCAGCGTGTTAGGTGGACCTAGCTCGTCCAACATCTGTATAGATCAAGTGCTTCTGCAGGGGGTTTTTTTGCT